ATTATAATATTTCAGTAAAAACTGTCAACTATTTTACAATAGCTAGCTTTTAAAAAAATGTGTAATTTAAAAATGGAAATCTCTCTCGTTAAAAACCGATTTCGCGATTCTTTTCTTAAACTCTGTTTTTTTAAATCTAGTGTTTTTTGTTTTTATGGGTGATCTAGTGTTATTGGGCTTTTAACTATCTACAGTAAAGAGAAGAAAAACTTTTGACTATCAAAATAATTAGAAATTCTAACATAAAAATGATATTAAACAAGGAGAAACTACTGTTTTGTTTTACAGTATTTTTAAATAGAATATGTTTGTTGGTTCGAGACAAAGGTGGAGGTGTCTAATGTTTTAATTTGATTGTTTTTTTTTTTTTTCCTTCTTTAATAGAGATATCTTTATACTCTTCAAATCAAATAAGTTTTTTTTTTAATTTTAAATTATATAATAAAAAGTAATTTTTTTATCTTATACTTTACATCCAAGAGATATAATTTAAACTTATGACATATTACTTACTTTTATTTTTTAAAAAAAGTACCATTGTTCTCTTAACTCTTTATCCACTCTATTTTGATATAATATAATTCAAATTTAAAATTATTTATTTATTTTTATTTAAAAAATATTATTAAACTATTTAAATTATTAACAAATCAAATAAGTTTTTAAAGTTGAGATTGTTAATAAGTATCCTTTTATAAGTAAAATCAAGAGTCTGAGCAGTAACAAGAATATCTTAGCTAATTTTTTTTTTCTTTTTAAATCAGACCAATGTGCATGGGAAAGGTTATGACTATGAGAAAAGAAACTCACAAAATATTAGTTTCAATCAATTTTCATTATAGTAACAGTTAGCAAACTATATAAATTGTTTAAAAATAAATTATTTTAAAAAATAAAAAAATATTTTTTTAAATAACATAGGAATAAAATGAGTTAAATAATTAAAAAAATCACTGTTTATTCTCTCCCAACTACAGTAATAATTCTTTTAGACTTTTTAAAAAAAAATTAAATTTGTTTTATAAATGTTATAGGTGAAATCCAAATTTCAAGTCTCAAATTAACACAAAAATGACTTTATAAGAGATTAATAAATTTAGGCGATTAGACCGTTCTCTCTTAAATTAAAATTTTGATGACAATGATGGCCAAAAAAATAGTTTTTTTGGAGGACAATTTACGCATGTCTTTGCCTATACCATCTTAAGAAGAGACTTTTTTTTTTTTTCTCTGACTTAATACAATAGATAATAATATATCACCATAATTATAAATTTATAATATTATATAATATTATAATGTTACATATTAATTTTAATTTTTTTAAAATAGTAAAATTTTAATTTTAAATATTATTATTTTATTTAATTAAAATTTATCTTATTATATATTAACATATAAATTTAAAATTTATTATATTAAAAAATATAATTAATTTTTAAATTTAATATTAATATTTAATAAAATAATTTTTAAATTTAATTTTAATAAAATAAAATAAAATCATTTAAAAATAAAATCTTATTTTGTTGTTTTAAAACTGAGATTGATATAAAATTTTGTTTAATTATATATTTACACATATATAATTTTTTTCGGGGGAACCAAACAACATATTATTTATACTATATGATAGATTATAGACCCGGTTTGATGTTTCCGTGTTTTGGGAAGTGTGGCCGAGACTGGTCCCGCCCACCGCCGTATGACCGGACTCCGACAGTGTTCAACAACGCGCTCGTGATTTCATTAAGTTGCACAGATATTTATTTATTTTTCCTTTTCATTTCCCCTATTTATTGGACAAAGATTCTTTTTTTAGGTATATTTATTGGAGAGAGAGATGTAGCTGCATAATGTTGGATCGATTCAGAGTAGGATGTACTATTTATTTTAAAAAAGATAATAATAATAATAGTGGTGAAAGGCACTTAAACTTTTGAGTTTAATGGTGTTAGATAATGTAAAAATGTATTTTTTCATTTCAAAGCAACCATTCGAATACAATCCATTGTAGATTTGCAAAACAATAATAATAATAATAATAATAATAGTGGAAGATTTATTGATGTGATATTTGTTGCCGGTTCATTGTTCCCTTGCCCATGCGTAAACAAATGTGGATATTGTCACACCCACACAAATAATTATTAAAAATCACACATTAATATTATAATATTATTATCGTGTTTAGTTTATCATTTTATTTGAGTAAAACAAAAAAAAATCTTAAGATATAAATGCACATAAAAGAAATGGGTAAAATCTTTTAAATATTGAGTTTCAAAATGTGAATGCAGATATAAAATACAAACTGTATATTTTTTTTTTTAAATGATGATGTCCAATTTAGAATTGTAATTTTAACATGTTCTCTGAGAAAAAGAAAAGGGTGAAAAAAAAACATGCTCTTTAAGGAAAATTCAGTCCTCCTAATGGGCCATTGCCACCTCCCACTAGTAGGAACACTAGGGCTGAGGTTGGTGTTCAATTTAGCCAAACCTTTTCCCTTCCTCTCTTACTATAGGATTGATTTGAAAGAAGTGAAGAAGAAGGTAGAAGTTTTTTAACTAATTAAATTATAATATTTTTAAATATTATAATTTAATTACTCAAAATATTTATTGTTTTTTTTTAACTAAATATATTATTAGTAAATTGTACTAATGATCACCCTCTCTCAAAAAATAAAATAAAATATCTGTTTTTTTATGGGCTAAAATAAAATCAGTTTATAAATATCCAAAAAAAATAAATAAATAAACTCATTTAAACAGTATAGGCCCATTTAGCTAAGAAAAAGTATGGGACCATCCAAGGTCCAGATGTCTCGGTGAATGATATATAAAGGCACCATCTAAGCCCAGCCCAATACCGTAATATTGTTCTTCTGGGCTATCCCTCTTACTTCCATCGGAAACGTCAAGAGACGGAAGAGGAAGCACCGCAGCCAGCACCACCTGCAGCAGCCGTAACACGACGATCAAGATGACTTCCTCGTCCTCCTCAGCTCTCCGAGACATTCAGCGCGACCTCGAAACCAAAGCCAACGATCTCAGCAAGATCCAAAAAGGCAAGCAATTAATTTCTTCAAAAACTCATGCTTCCACGTAAAATTTTGAATGCGAAACCCTAACGTCACTCATGTATGCTAAATCAGATATTGCAAAGAACCACCAAGTTAGGAAGAAGTACACGATCCAGCTCGGCGAGAACGAGCTCGTGCTTAAGGTTCTTGCCTTCGATTTATTTTGCATATCTGCTCAGTGATTCGATTCAAAGTTTTCTATTGTTGAATAGTGTCTGATTTTGTGCTTCTAGGAGTTGGATTTGTTGAATGAAGGTGCGAATGTGTATAAATTGATCGGTCCGGTGCTTGTGAAGCAAGATTTAGCTGAGGCTAATGCCAATGTGCGCAAGAGAATTGAATACATCTCTGCTGAATTGTATGATTTTCTTATTCCTTTGTACTCTTTCTTTAATTTTGTTCTATTTTAATTTTAGAACTGATTTATAGTTACTCATAGGCGGTTATGTTTTCCTTGGCATCATTTTCTTCTATTAGTTAGACAAATAATTCTAGTAAGGAGCAGTATCTATTTCAATTTATGTTTTCCATGGATGATATCTTTTAAAGGATTTGTTGATGATGACTGTGTTTGAATGCATGATTTTCCTCCCATGCTATTTGGTAATCTGGTGCAATCTGCAATTTTGCTTTTGGATTGGTTTATATATTTATATATCATCGGCTGCCTGCCACCTTTTCTGTGTGAACTTTGGTGATTATGTGGGAAGCTTTGTATGATTATTATTATTTTTTTCTTTGTATATATAATCGTCTAATTGTAATATTATCAATTATCACTTATGTTATTTCATATCATGAAGATGAAAAATTTTGTTTCTCCATCGATAGGAAGCGACTTGATTCAACACTTCAAGATTTGGAAGAGAAACAAAACAGCAAGAAAGATGCGGTATTTGTTCTTCCTTGTATACATGGCTTAAAAGGATGTTGTTTACTTGTTTTGGATCTTGGAATCTTATTTGTTGTTAATAATTCAAATTATCTCTATCACTTACTTTAAGATGGTGAACCTCTATGAACTGCTCATGTATGGATTTGCTGAAGTTCGATGAGTTGGTGTGGTGATTTAGGCCATATTAGAAATTTTCTTGAATTTCATCCTGAAATTGCCATCCCATAAACTGAAGGACCAGTCATCAATTTCAGTTCCAGTTATCCTGGAAATCTGTAATTTGACTGAAACCGTTTGTAAATGTTACAGCACTAACATTCAAGTTTTCAAGACACCAAGTGAAGGCAAAAAACAACTAAACATAATAATTAGAAGGGGAAATGTTATCATCTTGTTAGGATTATCCTCTGATGTTAGCCCCCATTCAATGCTCTATATCTTTGATAAGTTCTCTATGGTTGTGTCCCAAATTGAATTTGTTACACACCTACACTTCTTCTAACTGTTTCCAAGGTGGTGCAGCTACAAGAATATGCTTTTTCTCTTGAAGTTTGATAAATTATAATACTTTACATGGGCATTTGCTATTTGTGTTTTGTGACTCTGAAATTAAGCCTAAGTTTCAAGGGATCATATGAACTTTGTTTATTGGTTTTTCTTTCAGATCTTAAAGCTGCAGCAGAGGATACAATCTCTCCAGGCTGGAAAAGCAAAGGCCTAAGTTATATCATAGGTTTGTTCAACTAGTCAGCTACAACATTTTGTTTTTCTTTTACAGAGCCTTTAACCTAGCGCTTTCCTCTCTTGTGTCTTATTGGTGGTACTGTGTGCATTATATTTGTCTCCTTTAATGTTTTCCAAGTCATAATGGGATGCTAAGCTACTTATGCAATGTAACATGTCCATTTATGTGTCTTTTAATATTTTTTTATAAGTTTATCTGTCTTTACTCTTGTGGCTCTGATCCATTGTCCTTCCCTGTGTCTCTTTTTCCTTTATCCTGTCATTCTGGTTTCTGTCATTCTATGTGTTGAATGTAATGGTCATATGACTCATATCCCATTGTTGAGGCTATAATCTAATTTTCACAGATGGTCATTCTGGTTTCTGTCATTCCGATAAGTTGGAAAGGGAATATACTATCTATATTGTCCTATGTGCTTATCATTATCTGATTTTCACGTGGTATCAGCTTCTTCATCATCATACAATCTTTTGAAAACTTTAGCTGAGATATTGCTTTCTTTGTATTGCTCCTGCTACCGTGCAAACTGCAAAATGCCATTGTGCTCTAGCCACAAACCTTCGAACCCTATCCCCGCCAATGAAATTGCCTGATAAGACTACGGCTTCTTTGTGGCTTTTTGTGAATTTCAGAGCTCTAAAGATGGCATCCACTAGCTCTCTCCCCCACCCCCAAAATTGGCTTTAGCAGGGTTCGTACGTTTTCATGCAGAAAAAGCCTTATGATACTGCAAATGTGAATTGTGCGTTGTCCTAAGTGGATTTGCATCTGGAGCACTAGGAAAGTTGTGGGGTTAATACCAAGATTTTCATTTCAGTCCCACATGTTTCTCTTGTTGGTGTTTGGAATGCTACACTTTCTGGCAAGCTATTTGCAAGATCAATAAAATAATTGACAATATTATAGTTACAATGTGAGGATTGTAAACTTACAATTATGGTGTGATATAAAACGAGGATGACGTGATATTAAACAAATAAATGTATATAATATCATAAATAAGTTCTTAAATAAAAAAAGTCAATTATATAACAACAAATCATTTAATAAGTCTATAATATTATGTAACATTATATTTATAATATTTTTGTATAATATTTTTGTAAAATAATAATTGGCTCTCAAGCCATAAGACATATAAGAACTTTCTAAAGAAAAATGGTTAAATGCCATTTTTAGTTCTTAAATTTTTAATTTTATATCTAAGTCCTAGAATTATTTTAAGCACTTATTGCATCCTTGAACAATGAAACATGTAATTTTGTTAACCCTTCCATTAGTTAGTTAGTTAAATCTGTTCATATATGTGGATTTTTAATATCTAAACTTATTATATATATATATATATATAAGGAATTTTTTAACATGTACCTTAAGAGTATTTTTTTATTATAATTGTATATAAAAAAGAATAAAAAATGATATTAATTTTAGTGTCAGTGTCATATGAGTGAATTTAATTAAACCGTTGATAAATTAAATGTTAATTTTTATTTTTTTAAATATAAATTTATGACAAAAAGGTATGTTTAATACTCCTTAATCTATGTTCTAACAGTATAGGTTAAACAAATTTTTTTTTTTTAATCCCTAAACTTAAAAATATGCATATATAGATAAATTTAATAGATAAACTAATTGAAGGACAGAAACTTTATTTTTCATGCTTCAGGGACAGAAAAAAGTGTAAAAGATAGTTCAATCACAAAATGTTTTAAATTAAAAATTCAGGGACTGAAAATGATATTTAACCAAGAAAAATTAATAAGATTAGGTGGCCGAATTGGTGAAATTCTAATATCATTCCTTCTAGAGTTATCGGCATTCTAATATCTTTGGGAAGAAAGGATTACATTTTTTCTGGTAAAATGCAAAGATATTGCGTCTGCTGCATGAACTGCCTGTTTTCGGAGAGACAATTATCAGTGGTAAGAGCAATTATCCTTTCAATATTGCATTCATTATGTGCAAGTATTTCTCTCACAGTTTTCTTCGAGATAAGGTAGCAAGGAGCAAAAGTTCAATGAGAAAAGACCCCTCAACACCTTTTAATTTCAGTTCCAAAAAAATAAAAAGTTTCTCAATTTTTTTTTTTTTTATCTTATCGTATCTAGGATTTGGCTCAAATCTTCACAATATCTTCAAGATCATTCCCATAACTCAGAGTCTTAGGTAGAAATTTAAAAAGCATTGCTAGAAATGTCAAAGAAAGATTTTTTGGTTTTTCTTCACACAAATTAAAGTTTACACTGGTATACACTAATTTTAAAATCTTAGTTTTGAGTTTATGCTACAGTTAAGAAAACTAACCTTCTTAGTAATTAGAGATAGTAATTAATTAATCTAAGGTCATTGACGGTGGGGATACTCGTGGTTAGCAAAAAGGATATATAAGTGCAAGTGCCAACCAGAAAGATGGTAAGGACCATGATCCTGACCCTGACCATGACCATGATAGATATGACGAGTGAAAAAGAGCACACATTAAATGGGTGAATGCAGCTGCTGCTTCAAAGCAATGGCTGAACTCAATTGATCCCCGTTGTGCCATTAGTCACGGGAATATATCCTGGGATCTCAATTGGTCCCCGTTATGCCACGCTTGTCAATAATGGTGTCATCAGAGTGTGTGCAATTAATAGTCTATTTGGGTTAAAGGGAATGAAGGGAGGGAGCGGGAAAGTTTTCTCTTTTATATATATATATATAAAGGAAATAAAAAGGAGAGAAGGAAAAATTTTCCTTTCCTTTATTTTTTTTTTAATTCAATTGTTTCTTCAAATGAGGAGAAAGAAGGGAAAGGAATTGGAAAGATACAATTCTCCTTTCCTCCATTCCATTTAATCCAAACATAGGGTAAGAGTTTGAGACTTCAAAACTTAATTTGAAAGTTTTAAGTTCAAATCTCGATATTAATAAAGAGAGACTATAGAAATAAAAGAGTTATTTTTTATTGTATAATTAATTATTTAATATAAAAAAATAATTGTGGAAAATGGGCCAGTGATAAAATTAAGTTGGGCCCAACTTATCTGGATTGCTCTGGAATTGCTCTGGTATCATTTCTGATTTCTGATTTTTTTGGGTGATTAGAGGGGAAAAAAAAGGGAAGAATTGGTGAAGTAAACTTGTCTGGTTAGAGTTTTTAGGATTCCATAATTTTTGCAAACCACACGATTTGAGTATTAGTTTTTATTTTCAAATTAATTAATTAGTTTTGAAAACTTTGGAATTGATATTAAACATTATTATGACACCCCTAATCTCACATTGAGATGAAAATGTGATGCTAAGTAATATATAAATATAGAAACTAAAAACTATTAATAATTTGAGTTTAAGTTTTTGAGGGTCTATAAATCTTGGTTTAAAGAGTTGTTTGGTTAGTGATGTACTTTAACACGAGTTATTTTAATTGATATCAAAGTTATTGCCTCTTGTAGATGTAGGCTTATACTATAATCGTGGTCAGTAGTACCGTGGACTTGTGGTGAAATGGACCAAGTTTTGGTTGTGATTGAGTTTAATGAGAATAAGTGAGTGTTACATAAGTTTAAAAACCAACACTATTAATAACTTGAGTTGCTAGTGATATATATGTTTAAAACCTTTAATAATGCTAAATAGCTAACTTCTTATGTCTCAAAAATAATTTTGTTTGAAATAATCATCTCTTTTCTTAAGTTTTCCCCCTATTTTGAGAATAAGTTGATCCCATATGGATTTATGCATATGCGAGGTTATGGCAATCACTAATTTTGTTAAGATCAATAATTTTACTAGTAATTTTATTAGTTTATAGTTCTTTTCTTACACAGTTGATTATAATATTTGAATATAATTGTTTATAAACTGATTTTAATATATGAAATGATAAATATTAACTGTTTTATTAATTATTAGTTATTTTTTGCAATCAAATTAAGATAAAATTTTAAAAATTTTAATAAATATAACAAAATTAATGGTGACAATAAGAATAACTGATTAGTCGGTGATAGACTTTGTGAGGGCATTTGTATTATAATATAAACATTGCAGTACAATGATATACAAGACAAATGGACCGACCACAAACTATTCTTTGATAAAAGACCAAGTGCTATTGTCGCCAGAGCATCATAGTTCAATGATTTAAACATAAATTTAGAATTCTTAAGTTGAAATCTTTACATAAATTACAAGAAGTTTGAGGAAGGAAATAGTTATTTCTTAAAAAATTACCCTTCAAATGAACATTACGAGCAATGCTATTATTTTTTCCCACAGTCCCACATCGTTTTTGGGTTTTATTTTTTATGTTTGATAAATTTTTGAAGATTCTTTTTTTCCACAAGACATATATAGTCCAAATAAATTTTGAAATAAAAAATATTAATACAATTAAAAATCGTACCCATCAATAATTTCATTTATCTTCTAATCTTAATATATATTTTTTGCTTTTGAAATTGCTTACAATACTTATTTCCATAATCCTAAACAGAGTGGTTATTAGGACTTAGGCCTGTTTGCTGAGGTGGGGTGACCCTAGAAAAGGGTTTTTGATCAAAATTTTGGTCCTAATCAATAACCAAAATGGTCTAAAGTTTATAAAATGAAAATAAGGCCTTGGGTACCAAATTCATGCACCTTTTCTTTCATAAATTAGCCGGCAATTTTTCTCTAATCTTTGTAGAGAAAGAAAGTAGAAAGGAGGGGAGGGCCTGGGAGGGTGGTGGCCTGGTGGGGTCGTAAATAGGGTCCCTCACTCTTACAATTATAGTTGGTACAACAGAAAGGTAACTGAATTTGGGCGAAATCATGATGGTTTTGATAGGTAAAGATTTCTCTGTCACACCTCCAATTTCATGTGCATTTGCCTCTTGCCAATTTTTCCAAATTAATCAGCAAAATGAGACGACACAACTTTTGGGGGAAAAAAAAATGAAAGAGAGAGAAACCATTCATACATCTCACGTGCTTTGCACTTTTGGCACGTTTAGTGTTAGAGAGAAGAGTGCTCTGGACCATGTATAATCTACTTGGTTTAATTAAAAAAAAAAAGTTCATTTTATAATTTATTAATTAAAATTTAATTCTTTGAGGAGGTTAATAAAAGATAATTTTTTATAAATTTTTTAATTTTAATATAAATGATTAATTTTTGACCACATCAAAAAAATAATATTAATCTTGATGTCTGTATAAATTAATTCAAAAATACTCTTGCAGTTAAAAAAAAAGGGACCATATATAGTCTCATGAAAATTTCCGACCTTAGAAAATTGGTCAAATTTGCATTTGATGATGATGAATTAGGGCAAAGATATGCTGGCAATTTTCTCGAAATTTATGGGTCAATTTCTTGTTATACTACAACCGTTTTTATTCCAAATCTCTTTCTCTTTGTTGATAATCAGCTTATAAATTGATTATAAATTAGTGAATCAAAACTCTGCTTTCCAAATGGTACGCGCTAGCTTAAAATATTAAACACTCAAAACTTCTATCATGTATAATTTTAAGCACTCAAACTTGTATGTACCAAAAATATATCGATTACAAAAATGTTGCTTACAGAAATGTTAGCTTTAGCCTGTCCACAAAAATACTATTAATTAATCAAGCACATGCTGTGAATTCATTAATGTTACGTTTTGGTCAATTTAGCCGGAATTAACATTTTCTAGGGCTGTTCGGACTGAAATATTTGCCATCTCTATCGATTATATGTACTACAATTTCTTAAAGTTATTGTCTTGAGCTTTATTGATGATCAAATCAACTATCTTCCCCTTTTTTTTTTTAATGAATTTTTATAAGAAATGTATTTGTAGATTATCCTTCTACATTTTTTTTGGACATATCTAAAAACTCATTTTTTAATTTATATTTTTAAAAACTAACTGTTAAATTGAA